AAATCCCGTTCACTCCAAATGTCATCTTGTTTTACACCCTTGCTGGTCAGTTATATCTTTCTTGAATGAAAGTTAGATTGAAACCTGTTTTGAAAATTCCCCTTAAACATAACTTGGGTTTTTAATCCAAGGGACCTGGAAAAAACTTTCATCTGTATCTGGGACTTCCCAGGTGGCTCAGTGGTAAAGAATCCACCTGCCAAGCAGGAGATGGGATTCAATCCCTGGGTTGGGATGATCCCCTGGAGGAGAAAATGGCAACCCACACCAGTATTCTTACCTGGGAAATCCTACAGAGAAGCCTGGTGGGCTACAGTCTATGGGGTCCCAAAAGAGCTGGACATGACTTACCAGGTAACCAAAAACAACAACAAATTTGGGTAAACAGCCATTCCAATTCGCCTAGGACTGTCTTAATTTCATCACTAAAATGCTATCTATCCTAGGAAATACTTCAGACCTAGAAAATTGTACATCTGGTCATCCCAAATCTTCTCAGGAGTCAGAGCTTCATAGAAGAATCCCTACATTTACATTTCAATCACTCTTGAAAGTTGGGCCTTTGCAAGGGACCATCAGAAAACCTGTTAAACCTGTTTCCTACGTTTCTACTGGAAGCAGGGTTCACATAAGGAAGTCTTCCTACTAAAACCAGAGTTACCATTGGATCCAACAATCCAATTCCTGGGCATAGATTTGGAGAAAACCATCATTCAAAAGGATGCATGCACCCCAGTGTTCATGGCAGCACCCCAAAGTTCACCATAGCCAGGACATGGAAGCAACCTAAAAGTTCATCAATGAAGGAATAAAGAAGATGTAGAACAAATATACAATGGAATACTAGCCACAAAAATGAACAAAAGAATGCAGTTCGCAGCAACATGGAGGGACCCCGAGATTGTCATACTGAATGAATAAGTCAGACACAAATAGACAAACATCATTTGGTATCACTTGTATGTGGAATCCAAAGAAATGGTGCAAATGAACCTATTTACAACACAAAAGCTGAGTCACAGATGTAGAAAACAGATTTGTGGTAAACAGAGAGGAAAGTGTAGGGAAGGATAAATTGGGAGATTGGGATTGGCGTATACACACTACTATTGATAGACTATATAACTAGTAAGACCCTACTGAATAGCACAGAGAACTTTATTCAATACTCTCTAATGACTTACAAGGGAATAGAATCTAAACAAGAATGGATACATGTGTCTGTATAACTGACTCACTTTGCTGTAAGCAGAAACTAACACATATTCTCCAATGAAAACCTAATTTTAAAAAAAAGTCTCCCTGTATCACTTGACAATTAAATTGCCCTTATTGGGAAGGGGGTGGATTTGATGCAATGATTATAAGTGAAACATTTAGAGTAAAAGCCCTGGATTTAATACTTAGATCTCCTCCCTGCGAGTTACGTGACCTTGAGCAAGTCACTTTACCCCTTACAGCTTCAAATGTCTTGCCTTATAAATGGTGTCGAATAACTACCTATCTTGCAAGTTATTGTGTGGATAAAATGAGATCACACGTGTCAAGGGCTTGGCAGGGTGCCTGGTGGCTGGCTGGTGCCCTGTAAGAAGTAATTCCTTTTATGATTTAATATGCAAGCCCTACAAGAAAGCTTAAAGACCAAGCTGGGAACAGCTTCCACAGGGACTTTATCCATGAACCTGCCTGTGGTTTGATGCACTCAGAAGGTTCACTTCCATTGAATGAAAAGCAGAAGAAATAGCTGAACAGCAGGCATTCACCTCAGCTCTAAGGGTTAAACAAAGAGGCAACTGCTTTTACATCGGAATGTTTTTGTCACCCTCTTTTAATGTGAAACCTTTTCATCTGCGCTAAAGCTTCAGAAGTCAGATTCACCGAACTCACTTTGAGACTTTTGCTAGCGATGGGACTTTAATTACCTTTCAGACACAGGGATGGCTCTTGTCTTGAAAAACAGAAAGAAAGAACTCTTTTTTCCCCCTCCTCTTCGCTCATTCTTTTTTTTTTTTTTTTTTCAGATTGAAATCTTTTGTTCCTGGCACTTTCCATATGCCACACTTTAATATTTAATCAGCCCCCACCTCATCAGAAGACTGCTGGCCTCATTAGATAATTAATGGTTGCTGGCACTGCATTTGCTCCAGTTAATACATCTGCAGCCAGCAATTAGCGCCTGAGTTTATTAGTTGCACTGGCTTCATTGACTGGGGAAGCAATTCGCCTTTGATTGAAGCCGCTGGGATGGGCATTTGTGGACAGCTTGCCCCCTGTTCCTTGGGATTCTTTTGTTTACAATTTTGGTTGGTTTTTTTTTTTTTTTTTGCTACAGTTTTGCAACACAGTGCATCCTGGCCCTGCCATCAACAGTTGGTAGGAAAGATTTCCCTTTTATAATTTAGAAGATAATTGGGTAATTCTGTGCAGGAGAGAGGCAGCTGCAGGGTGGGACAAAAGCTGGGAGGGAAATCGCTAAGTAATTTGTTCTTTTGGAAATGTCTATTTTTTAGAAAGGCGTAGAGTCAAGGCTGAGGAATTCAGGGGGAATTCAGGCTGAGAGATGCAATCCTACAGGATGGGCTGCTGCCTGGAGTTAATATGTTGCTTCTTAGAGCTCGGGAGGTACAGAGATGGTCTTCTGCCATCTTTCATCCCTAAACTTGACTTCCTTGCTTTGGCCCAGTTCTGCCTCCATTTTTGTTACTAAGTGAAATCGAGTCATTTTCATGTACCTTTCGGGGTGCTTCCCTGAGGACTCTGATCACTGCCAGTTTCTTCCTGGTGATTAAAATCTTGGCCTCTCACCAGGATTATCCCCTTGTCAAATCCCGCTTTCATTCCCGTTGCTAGATACTTGGGGAGATGATCATTAAGAACACAGTCATGATGTGAAATATGAAGGAAATGAGGGTGACAGTGTCTAGGTATGTCAGAGAAAAGAAGGAAACAAAATATAGCCCAACCAAATGGGGGAGAAGGGAAGGAAAAAGCAGAAAAGACCAGAAGCAATAAGAGTTTCCAATTTTTGTCTGTCTTTTAGGCCCAAATTCCTAACTCAAGACCCATCTTAAATACATACGCCATAAATGGAAGAAAGTGACAATGATGATGGTAATACTGATGAAGATAACAAACCTTTACTGAGCATTTTTCAAGTATCAGGCATCCTGCTAAAAAGTGTTTTGTCACATAATACTAAGGCATCTCTACCATCTTTCTTCCCGTTTTAAGGATGAGAAAAAGGACCTCCACCGATTTTCAATGTTTTCCCCAGATTACACAGCTTGTAGCATCTGAGCTGCCATTCAATGAGCCTCTAGCCTGCATCAGTCAATTCACAGTCATTAATTTATTTCACATAAACAGTGAAAAGTTCAGCGGTTATTTACCTAGAATCATGCAACAAGTACAGAGGCTGTTTAATTCCCAAGCCTCTTTCCACTACTATAAGGACTAATACCATCTAGGGTCCCAATTAACATTCAAGTTGAAGGAACAGTCTATAAGGATTCCAGCCTAATCGAGACTATGTGCTAAATTTTGGATTGCTCTATCTTGATACTCAGGGATTCCCAGGTAGCTCAGTGGTAGAGAATTCACCTGCCAATGCAGGAGATATGGGTTCTATCCCTGGGTTGGGAAGATCCCCCTGGAGGAGGAAATGGCAACCCTCCTGGCCTGGGAAATCCTGTGGACAGAGGAGCCAGGTGGGCTACAGTCCATGGGGTCACCAAGAGTTGGACACAAATGAGCAGCAGCAGAACCATGACACTTCCATCCTTTGGATGATATCAAGGTCAAACATGCCTCTTCAGGTCTAAATTGTAAGACTGATATATTGATTCACCTTTTAATTGTTTTTTGTTCAGGGTCAGTTCAGCTTTCAACCTCAGATAGAATGCTGTATCAGATGAACTACATCCCTAGTAAAACGGCATAACCTGCCGTTATGGTGAAGTACTTCTCAAAATGCTCACACAAATAACATGGATAGAATGTTACTGAGCAGATCTTGATTAAGAACAATAAGGGAAGCCTGGGATTCTAAATTTCTAACAAGATCCTGGGTTGTATCAGTGCTGGCAAAGCAGTGGTTCTCAAACCAAGAAGCACCTTGGAGTCACCTGGAGTGCTTGTATTTCTCAACACCAATTTCTAGGCACCACTCCATCAATAAAACTAGTATCTCTGGGGAGGGGGCTGGTGCTTAGGATTCCATATAGTTTAAAAGCATCCCAAGTGTTTCTAATACACACTCAGAAGCACTGGCTTAAAAAGAAACATCTCAGTGGGACAAATCAGCTGAGTGCTGCATGATCCACACAAACCAAGAGAGCAGAGGGACTCAGATAGAAGACACTCCCTATGACAAGACAAGAATGCAGACCTTCCTGGATGGTACACCATCTGATTCTCCGACGGCTCCTCCGTGACTTACGCGACACTGCTGGAGGAAAGCATGACTTACCATCTCAGCTTCGTCTCAAGTTTTCAGGGCGAAACAGAAAAGCTGGTAAAGGTCCAAGGTCTGAGTGTCCTCATATATAAAACGGAGCAAATGCGTTACTTGCTGAAGAAACGGGTCATCAACAGGAGGAGACTGCTGGCTGGCCCACGGAGTGGACCCGGGCAATCAGCAATCGCAGGGTCCTCACCCTTTCCTCTGTCCTTGGAGGATATTTCCTGTCCACTGTTCCTGCAGCAGGAGCAGCTCCAAGGATGTAGCCTTAAGAAAGCGAGGTGCTCAGATCACCCGGACCGGATATGAGCCTAAACCGAGTGCCGGGGTCCGTATAAACCAAGATTCCAGCGGGCAGGTGCCGAGATCTCTCTGTCTTATGGCCTCTCAAGACCAGCCTCATAATTCAGTTGCTTCACTTACTAAAACCGCTACCTGCGGGTCCGGAGGGGTTTACCTCGCTCTGGGGTCTCTCCTTGGGCTCTGTGCTCGCGGCGGTTTGCAAAGCCAAGTGTGGCAAGCCATCCTGGGGACCGAAGTAATGGCTCTTAGGAAAGAGACGTTCGCAGAAGGGAAATCCCGGGCTGGCCATCGACCCCTATGTGAGGAGGCGGGTCCTGAATGTCAGATGCATGCAGATGGCAGCTGGCGCACAGGACGCCCCCAACAGGCTGGCTGGTCCGATGTGCGTGTTTGCAGAGCAGCTCAGAGGGCGCTGCAGGCGGAGAAGCGTATCACGGAAGCACCGCCGGCTGACTTCCTCTTGGGGCGGGACCACTGGCCACTGATGCCCAATTGATGGCGAAAGTTCAAGTTAGAAAGTGGCAAGAACTGGACTCAGAGAAAGGCTGCAGAGTCCCCTGTTCTGTTCACCCCGGGGCCGGCAGACAATCTGGAGGACCTGGATGGTCAACTGGAGACCTCGGAGAGCCCTTTTGCAAAGCAAGGAGGGCGCGAGTTGCCCAAGATTAGAGTCCAAGAGCTGGTGAGGAAGCCTCATTAAGACGCTAAGGGGTGGGATCCCTAGGAAAGTGATGAGGAGGTCTTGGAGAGGATGAGACCTCCATCTGACCCCTCGAGCTGAACCGCGGCAGGCCCCAGGCAATTTGAAGCTCCTCTGTCCTTGAAATGTACATTCTGTCCACTGTTTTCCTATTGGAAGCTTTGCCCTGATGTATCTTTGAGAGAGTGAAGTGTTGAGCCTGTCTGGACAGGGTATCTGTTAAAACTAAGATTCTGGCAGACAGATGCCTAGATCTATTCATCTTACAGCTGCCCAAGACAAATTTGTAGGTAAGTTCTTTTTTTTTTTTTTTTAATGAGTAAAAGATGCTAAGACTTTTTAAAAAGAGAAAGAGATAAGCCTTGTAAATTCCCTTGTTTATTAAAGCTGCCACCTACGAGTCTGGAGTGGCTGCCTCTTTCTTGGATCTCATCTTGTCCCCCATATACGGGGTCATTTTGCAAGCCAACACCTGCCTGAGGGTGAAGGAAAGTGACCAATATCTGCGTTCTCTGGGAAGCCTATAGTGAGCTGCAGCAAAGCAGGGCACAGTCGTTAATAACCATGTGCCCCCGCAGCACTGCAGGCTTTTCCAAGCTGGAGAAGACTCCAGGGCAATTACTGTGATTATAATTCAGTTCTAAATACCTGTAAGTATGCAGTTTTGCTGAAAGCAAAAACCATGTTCATCAGATTTTTTTTTTTAAGTATAATAAATTAGGTGTTTTTTGGTTTTTTTTTTTTGGCTGCACTGGGTCTTCCACGGGCTTCCCAGATGGCGCAGTGGTAAAGAATCCTCCGGCTAAGACAGGAGAGGAAGAGACATAGGTTCAATCCCTGGGTTGGGAAGATCCCCTGGCATAGGAAATGGCAGCCCACTCCGGTATTATTGCCTGGAAAATTCCATAGACAGAGGAGCCTGGCGACAGTCCATGGGGTTGCAAAGAGTCGAACATGATTAAGCACACCATCCCCGTGGGCTTAGTTGCCCCATGGCATATGGGAACTTCCCAGATCAGGCATCAAACCTGGGTCTTCCACACTGGCAGGCTGATTCTTTACCACTGGACTACCAGGGAAGTCCTTGTCATATTTTTGCTTTTCCTACACATTGGGAGAATAAAAAGAGACCTAAGAATATCTTTGAATGTAGTGTTTATCATGTTGTGCTATGTGCTATTGGTAAATAGGATGATTTTGGGTGGCCTGTGGATACACTTAAAAACGTGCCAATGTAAATACACATGAGAAAAATAGTGGATTTTTGGCGGTGATACAAAATTGTGCTTTTGAATGCATTTATTAAAATGCAAAGAGTTATACAGCCTTAAGAGCTTGTTACACATTCTTTGTACTGTAACAAGTAATAAGTACAAGTGAAGTGATACATTGATGAGAAAGGAATGTGATCAACTGTTTGAACTTGGAAGAACCTCTTTCTGATCCCTCATCACAGAGGGATCCAACCACTCCCATTCTTCTCCGCCTTACTTGCCTGATGTTGATGACAAATGCCCATACTGTCTTTATCAGTTTTATCCTTAAAATTAGCAAGTTCAAGTTCAGGAATTTCCCTGAAGGAAATAACTATGCAAGTTTGCACATCCAAGCACAAAAATGAATATCACCATTGTTCTTACAGGACCTTTTATTAGCTTGGGGCAGGAGCAGATATGTTATTAGATTGACTCATGTGAAACTTTCACATTAGTGGGTCAAAAATGGGTGAATATTAGCAATCAGATATTTGACAATAATGAAGCAAATTTGGGCATATTCTATGTAATAATACATTCCTCAGTCATCTGCAATAAAGCTGTGGAATACTACTTAATGACAGAGATGTTGTTCAAAATATTGACTGTGTGAACAAAACAAACAAAAGAAATAGGTTGACACACAGTTATAAATAGTGTTATTTGTTTAGACTATATTTATGCATAGAAAAAAATAGCACATGGCATAGTTTAAATCAAAGTCTTACCAAAAAAAAAAAAGTCTTATAAATTTTCTGTTTCTCATTTTCATCGTCTGTGATTGCTTCTAGTTTATTTAGTTAAGATTTTTGAAATTTCATTTTAAATGTGTGACAGGTCATCACAACTAATTCTTAGTTCTCTCTCTCATTTCTGGGTATGAAGTGATACATTGTTCTATTGCTTTCTTTCACTCTGTGAAGTTTTTTATTCATATTTCTTTTGTTAAATAGCCTCATAGTACTTCTCAACACCTAACTCCAGGCAGCCATTTGAATCCATCGGCATTGTCATGCAAGCCGATGTTAATTTTCCTTCCCTGGTCTGGAAACCCCGACAGTGAGAGGTTTTCCCTTCATCCACAGCCTCACTTCTGCACAAATAGTTCTGTGTCTTTCTCACTCTCCTTCTCTCCTCTGAACCTCATTCAGACTTATACTGCTGATCACTGAATTTCTCTATCTCAGCCACTCCTGGTAATTCAGGGTCACTAGTGTAATCAACAGTTCCCAGTTGTTGGAAATTTTCTGGATTTAAAATGGAAAGTCCCATGTCCTAGGAAATCCCTCAGTCCTAGGAAAATCGGGAGGATTGGTTGATCCAGCCCTGATGTGAGTTAGGAGGGATCACTGTGAACAAGACCGTGCGTGACATACCAAAGCTACTTGTTAATAAAAAAGTCAGATAACTGAGCCAAGGCCAAGAGGGATGGTCTCCAGCTTACAGGTCGTGGAAGAGCTTTAAGAAAATTGGGAGACTTTAAGTAGCGTCACAGGGCTTCTAGGAGTCCAGCTATAAGAGATCTATGACAAGGCAGGCTCTGATATCTGCCAAAGCATCTCCTGATTTAACTGGAGGAGCTTGACACATCTAACTTGGTGCCGACAATTCTACCCTGAGTGGCTCAGGGCTTCATGGTGGTTCCAATGGTAAACAGTCTGCCTGCAGTGCAGGAAACCCGAGTTTGACCCCTGGGTCCGGCTGGAGAAGTAATGGCTACCCATTCCAATATTCTTGCCTGGAGAATTCCATGGACCAAGGAGCCTGGTGGGCTACAGTCCAAGGGGTCACAAAGAGTAGGACACCACTGAGCAACTAACACTTTGGTTCACTTTCTGGCCAGTTTCCTTGACATGTTCTATAGGAAGTCAGCTGCAGATGGTCTAGGCTTGAGAATGTGATGGGAAGCTGAACTCCTATCCTCCAGAATGGATCCTCTTAGCTGTCAATCTTTGCAGGTTGATTTCAGCTCTCAGCCAATATCAAGCCACTGGTTCCTTCCATGAATTCAGGGCACCATATTTTCCACAGCCCTAAAAGTGAAAGAAAATTAGATGCTCAGTCATGTCCAACTCTGCAACCCCTAGAATTGTAGCCCACCAGGCTCCTCTGTCCATGGGATTCTCCAGGCAAGAAGACTGGAGTGGGCTGTCATTCCTTTCTCCAGGGGATCTTCCCGACCCAGGGATTGAACCCAGGTCTCCTGCATCACAGGCGGATTCTTTACCATCTGAGCCACCAGGGACGCCCTAAATAGGCACCAAAGTGAGTGATGATCATGATCTAAGTTAATGATGCTTCCCTCATATTCCAAATGCAAAAAGTGAAAACTCTCTAATTTCTTCTTCTGAGAGGCCATTAATAGAAATCTTTAAAAAGACAGTTTCCTAGCACTGGAAATATTAAGCTGTTATTATGGCAAATGAGCTTATTTTTACTTTCAAATGAAAACATAAATAAGTAATAAGTAAATATCAGCAATTTTGGTTCCATAATGAATAAGGACAGAATTGGGAGCTGAAAGAGTGTGTGCCCATTAGAGAGAGTGGGAAATTAACATTTGTTGACATTCTCCTGCTTTTAGTTTTAATGTAAACTAGAGGCAATTAAGTTATGTTCAACATTTTTCCCTTGTAAATATTTTCCGTTTCTCTATATAGTAACCGAGATGTCTTACAACAGGGCCATATTAGCAAGCCCCAAACTAGAGGGGCGGTCTTACCTGTCATCTGCCAATGTAAAAATAGAAAGCCCAAGTCCTTGAATGATTCAGTGTTTCTCATCTATTTCTTATCCACGTCATGACTGTGCCATTCACCATTCAGGATGCCAACTGTTTTTCTGTTTTCTGGTGGGGTTTTTTTTTCCCCACACTCACAATCTCTAGGTAAATCTATAAATCCCCACTCAGAAGAACGTGAATTATCTGATGCTTGAATGAAATGAAGACAAAAACAAGCTTGAATATTTAAACTTACAGCAAGTATCTTCCATGATAGATCCTTTCAGACTCCCTCTCATTTTTTTCTTTGATATCTACTACTGCTATAAAGTCCCAGTTTATCATATAACATTACAATTTATGGTATAACCAGCTTGTGTACTGACTATAAACCCTTCATCAATGCCACTGTAAAGGGTTTATAGTCCATAAATAGAAGAGCAAGCCTATCTCGCCTGCCTGTTTTGCCCGCAACACAGCCCTTCAGACATGTCAGCCTGGTTATTTGTTTTACATGCTGGATGAGTTACGGAAAATAAGTGGATACATTGTTTTGTCTCTCCAACATTCAGAGACAATTCAGGATCACGGGGGATGAACAATGGGATGTTGGCTAGAAAGATGTAAGAGAGTAAGCCTGTCCTTATCATTAATCTGTAGGTGAGCATTTTTTAAAATTTTTATTTCAGAGTATAGTTGGTTAGCAACGTCATGTTAGTTACAGGTGTACAGCGATGTGACCCACTTATACATATACATGTATCTATTCTTCAATTTCTTTTCCCATTTAGGTCTTTAGAGAGTGTTGAGCAGAGCTC